AAAATTTGTCAATCTATTGTTTCCAATAGGAGTGAATATTCGAGTCAAGAGTCGTAATAGTTCTATTGATTTTCGCAAGTTATTCTGAAGTGCCTTTTTTCACCTATTGGAGTTTATGCATCTTAGAGCAATACTGCATTCGCTTATCTTGCTCTTGCTAATATTAAACCTCGCCAGTAGGCTACCGCAGAAGTTATTTACGCCACTTTTGCTGCCTGTGGTAACTTGGGAAAGAGTAAGTTATTAGTCATTTTAAAAAACGAACAAATTTGAAAAAAATAAAACTTATTTTCTTTTGAAAAAAGAATAATCCAAGTCAGGTAGATGTTTGAAAAAAAAATTACTAGTTGCTAGTCTTGGAAATATTTCAAAGTTCATGCTTATTTGCGATACTTGAACGATTTTAATTATTAAACCTGCCAAGAAATCTGTAAGTTTTCAAAACTTGCAGACCAAGCTTGCTGCAAGTACATAGCAAAATTTTCTCATAACTGCATACAGGTTTCGCACTCGATAATAAATTTGAAAAAGTAGAAAAAAGTAGCTTTAAGACTGAAAAAAGTAGCAAAAAGTAACTTTAAGTTATAAAAAAATTAGTAAAAAAGTAGCTAATAAAAATTAAATTTGACAACTTAAAAAACTCGTTTTAGACGATTTACAAAAATCTCAAAAATTCGATTCTGCATTTTATTTCCTTGTTTTTTTTCTAATTTTCATCAAAAATATTTACGTTTCTTCTTATATTCCTAATAACTTCATTACTAAATTTTTTACCAAAATTCGATAATATTCTTAATTTTTATTTAGAATTCTTAAAAATACGATTATATTTAAAAATAATTTTTAAAAGCAGAAAAAAAACTTCTTTAAAAAATATTTTTAATAATTACTATATAAAATATTTTGATAATTTCACAAATTCTAAAAATTACAACTGTACTTCAAAACAACTGTAACAACAATTACAACAGTACTTAAAAATTCAATAATTTTTTTTCTTAAAGTTTTTAATTAATATTATTCAAAACTTTTATTATTTTTTAAGAAAATAATAAATTATTAGTTTCATTTTAAATAAAAATTTAAACACACTGAGAAAACAACATAGTTTTGGATTAAAGAAAATTTTCTCAGTGTAATATTACAGTCTCATAAGAATTAAAATTTTCAAAGATTTCAATATTCTAATAATATTCAATTATTATCTAGAATATTTTAAATAAAAATTTATTTTTAAATCAATTATTATTAAAAATTATCGCAGAATTTCAATTATTTAAATATACAAATAAATTATTTATTAAATAATTGAATGTTTCTTAAAATTGAATTCTTATAAAGAATTTGATGAAAATTTTTTTTGAATAATTGAACTTTTTTGAAGAAATTTAATAAAATTAAAAAAAAATAATTACAGTTTTCGAGGAATTCGATTAAAATTGTATTAAAAAAAATTAAAATTCTGCTATAATTTTTATTATTTATAAAAATAATTAAATTTCATAAAATTTAATTCTTTTTTTTATTTCTCTGATTTTTTTCTAATATTCATCAAAACTAATCATGTTTAAAAAAATAATAAATTAATAATTTTGTTTTTAAATAAAAATTTAAATATTTTTACAGTTTTACAAGAATAAAAATTTTCAAAGATTTCAATTTAAAAATCTTTTGAAATTTCGAATTTTCAGTTATTAACTAAAATGTAAACTTAAAATTTATTTTTAAATCAATTATTATAAAAAAAGTTCTATGAGAATTCAATTATTTAAATATGAAAATAAATAATTTATCAAATAATTGAATGTTTCTTAAAATTGAATTTTTATAAAGAATTTGATAAAAATTTTTTAAAATAATTGAATTCTTTCGAAGAATTTAAAAAAAACTTTGAAAATAATTGAAATCTTCGGGGAATTCAGTTAAAATTGTAAAAAAAAATAATTGAATTTCTGCTAAGAATTTTATTAAAATTTCATTCAAAATTATTGAATTTCCCAGAAGAATTTCAATATTTATGAGAATTATTTAATTCTTACAAATTTTTTCGACAATTTTTTAATTAAAATTTGATTGAAAATAATTTAATTCTTAAATAGAATTCTATTAAAACTTTTAAAAATATTTAAAAAGAAGAATTTTATTGAAATTTTATTCAAAATAATTGAATTCTCGAGAAGATTTCGATTCTTGAATTGAATTGAAATAATTGAATTCCACGAAGAATTTTAAAAAAAATTTTTTAAATAATTGGATTCTGGAAGAAATTAATTTTTTTTTTTTATTTCCCATTTTTAGAAGGAATTCCATTAAAATTGCATTAAAAATAATTTAAATTCTGTGATGAGTTTTATTTTTATTATTTATAAAAATAATTGAATCCCTGTAAAAAAAAAATTTATTATTTATGAAAATAATGGAATTATTGCTAAGAAATTAGGAAAAAATTTGTAAATAATTAAATTTCTAGGAAATTTTTATTTTTTTAAAAATAATTGAAATTTTGACGGGAATTTAAAAAAAATTTTGAACATAATTGAATATCTGCGAAGAATTTAAAAAAAATTTTGTTAAATAATTGCTTTTTTCTAAAAAATTTAATGAAAATTTTATTTTTAATAATTGAATTCCTGTTAAAATTTTAATATTTACGAAAATATTTGAATTTCAAAAAAGTTTTAAATATAATTGAATCGTTGCTGAGAATTTTATTAAAATTTTTAAGAATAATTTTTTTATTACAACTTCAGTAAATTTAAAGTTGTGCAAATTCTCGAAAGAGAATAGAAAAAAAAATATCGATATTTTTTTTATTATTGTATTTTATTTTATTTTTTATCGATCTTTTAGTGTCACAAATAAAAAAAAAGTATCCAAAAAGTAACAAATCGTAAATAAAACTATGAGTAAATTTTTATACTTGTCGCAAGCTTGCAGGTTCATAATTATATCATAATTAAATTCCTCTTCAATAACACCGTTTTCCTACTAAAAAAAAAACTATTGGTAAACAAACTGATAAAAATCTAAAACTTTATTTTCGTTTAATTACAAATTCTAAAAATCAAACGTAAATTGTTTCTTTCAAAATAAATAAAGCGATTCAATGGTCCATTAAATTTTTCCTTTTTTCTTTTTCTTTTTTTTCAAAAGTCCATACATAGGTAATAGTTATTTTTCTTACCAAATATTCAATCACATTTAAAACTTTTCACAAAGCTATACCATCATTTAATGAACCTGATGTGCAATGAATCGAAAATGCCGAACCAATGAAGTGAAAATGTCAATATCGACAAACGTTTGTTAAATATTTCATTTCGCGTGAATAAATCAGACAAAAAATATGTGTGCGTATGTAATAATAAAATAAAAAATTCATATTCAAATTCGTTCGTTACGCTTGATCTTAAAAAAATTAATTTCTTATAATTCTCTGCGTCTACATTGAAAAAATTTTTTTAATCAATTTATTCATCTCCACATAAGAAAATATAATGAAAAACAAAAAAAAATCTCATGTACGCATTTATTATGTTTAATTACAATACATATTTAATTGTTCCATTTTAATACTATTTCTTGTAATTTTTTTTTCAATTGAAAATTTCCTTTTTTTTCAATGTTACAGACAATATTAGTAAAATAAAACTATTATAGTATATATATATGTTTCTGTATTTCTTATTTCTGCTGAAATATAATGTAAAAGTTTTATTTGCTTATTTTTGATGTGAAAGGTATATTTAGGTAAATAAAGTGAAATGTTACTTTCTAGTGTAGTAGTTAAGTAAAGTTGTTAAATAGATAATTAGAAGTATGTAGTTTTCTTAGTAGATATTTCAATTTTTTTTCTCGATATTCTTATAGATTCTGTAAAGCTTTACTCTATTCTTCTAACTTTTAATCCTCTCAAACTTTAAATCCCTCGTCTGTCCTGACCTATCTGCAAAATCTACTTTAAATTTACCTGTGATATTAATTATTACTATACTAAGAATTTATGTAGATTAAGCGCTTTTTTTCATAGAAAATGTAAACATTTAAGGTAATTTATATTGTGTCAAGTGTTCGTATTTAGTCAGAATAAAAAAAAATTTACACACAATTTTAAGCTAAAGTAACATGTTTAATTTTTTTTCTGCTTGCAATTTATTAAAAGTATTACAATTCAAAATAGAAAAAACATTACAAACTCAGCATACTTTGATTTTTCAAACAACACTTTTTATATACTTCCAAGTAAAAAATTTTAAAATTATAAACAAAATTTCAGAACTAAAAAATTATATTTTTAATTATAAAATTCTGTAGAAATTTACTAGAATGGTTCTAAGTAAAATCTACAAAAAGTGGATAAAGTAACGTTTATTAACGTTAATAAATATTTTATTAATAAATAAATTAATTAACATTAATATTAATTAATCAATATTTTATTAATAAATATTTTTCGAAACAAATTTTTATAAACTTTTGTATAAAAACTTAAAAACATATTTTAATAATGTTTCATAATCAATAATTTATCGTACAATGATTCGGTAGAGTTATTCTAGAAAAATTCTACAAAACTTTTCCATCTGTGAATTTTAATATTTTATGGAAATTAATAATTTTTCTATTATATAAAATTCTCTTGATTTTATAAATTTATTTTATAAATAGTTAGCATATATTCAACGTACTGATTTGTTTTTTCCTTCTTTTTTTAAACTCAGAGATATACTATTTTAGGTATTTCCACATTTAGTTTACTCATCTGGAATATATCTGGTAAATAAAAATAAATAATTAAAAATTTACGTTCACCTCTCGAAATAGTGTGATGAGGTAAATAATTTATTCAGCGAACGAGAGTTTTGAGATGTTGGGAGCTATTTTAAAATTTCACCTGTGAGAAATAAAAGCAGTGAAAATAAAGAAAAACTGGTGATAACATAAACTTTGCCTTTCGTAATCGACTGATTTTATTAATAAATTTACTCAATAAATCGCAGGGTCTGGGCGGGGTGAGCGCAAAGAAAGTGTCGTGGAACTGCCAGAAAAGCTGTTTGACCTTAACTATGATTCTGATGACGATGAACGATGGAGGTAAATTTTTAATTCGTTTTTCATTTTTTTTAAATACAATTAAAAATAATTAATTCGAAATCTTTTAGTAATAGGAATGCCAATTTTTAGTCAGACAGGTCATTTTAAATTTCTTGACGTTATTACTACTGTTATTAATAATGATCTACAAAATTTAAACGAACAAATAAACGAACAACTAAACGAATAATTTTACTTAAATATTTCAAAATTAATTTAATTCTAAAAAAAGTTACGTTTACAATTTTTATAAATAGATGAACTTTATAAAATTTCAATTTTTAATACATTTCATTAGAGAAATTTTAAAGAACTTAGATTTTTGAAAAATTTTAATAATTCAAATTCTCATGAAATTAGTTAAATTTTTAAATACATTTAATTAATTATTAAAAATAATGAAGAATTTCAGTTAAAAACACTTTTAAAAAAATTAATTTTGGAGAAGTTACAAATGATTGCAGAAATTCAATTATTTTCAAAAGTAATAAACTTCTTCGCAAAAATTCAATCATGTTCAAAAATTTTTTTAAATTCTCGGCAAATTTTCAATTATCTTTTTAAAAATAAAATTCTTCTCCGAAATCCAATTATTTTCAAAAATTTTAATAAAATTCCTCTCCAAAATTCAATCATTTTCAAAAATTGTAATAAAATTCTTGTCAAAATTTCAATTATTCTCTAAAATTTTAATAAAGTTCTTGGCAAAATTTCAATTATTTTCAAAAAGTTTAATAAAATTCTTGTCAAAATTTCAATTATTCTCTAAAATTTTAATAAAGTTCTTGGCAAAATTTCAATTATTTTCAAAAAGTCTAATAAAATTCTTGTCAAAACTTCAATTATTCTCTAAAATTTTAATAAAGTTCTTGGCAAAATTTCAATTATTTTCAAAAAGTTTAATAAAATTCTTGTCAAAATTTCAATTATTCTCTAAAATTTTAATAAAGTTCTTGGCAAAATTTCAATTATTTTCAAAAAGTTTAATAAAATTCTTGTCAAAATTTCAATTATTCTCTAAAATTTTAATTCTTGGCAAAATTTCAATTATTTTCAAAAAGTTTAATAAAATTCTTGGCAAAATTTCAATTCTTTTCAAGAATTTTCGACAATTCAATGATTTTGAATATTTACTGTTCTAATCAAATTTTCCAAAAGAATTCAATTATTTAAGAATTTTTCAATAAAATTCTACCCAAACATTTAATTTCGTTGATAAATAAAAATTTCCCAGAAATTCAATTATTTACAAATTTTTTCTAATTTTCTTAGCAATAATTCCATTATTTTCAAAAATATTAAAAAAATTCTTGTCAAAATTTCAATTATTTTCAAAAATTTTCCTGAATTTAATGATTTTCACTATTTTCTACTTTAATAAAATTTTGCAAAAGAATTAATTTATATAAAAAAAAATTTGGAGAAAATTCTACGCAAACATTTAATTCTTTCATAAATAATTAAAATTTTACAGGACTTTAATTATTTACCATTTTTTTATAAATTCTTTCGCAAAAATTGCATTATTTTCATTAATTATTAGATTTTTTACACAGATTCAATTATTTTCATATATAATAAATAAATAAAATTCTTTTCATTAATTCAATTATTTTCATTAATAATAAAACTCGTCGCAGAATTTGAATTATTTTTAATACAATTTTAATCAAATTCCTATAAAATTGAATTATTTTTAAAAATTTTAATTAAATTTCTTAAAAGAATTCTATTATTTGGAAAAATTTTAATTAAATTCTACGCAAACATTAAATTTTTTTCATAAATAAAAACATCACAGAAATTTAATTATTTACAAATTTTTTCTAAATTTCTTAGCAATTCCATTATTTTCATAAATAATAAAATTTTAATAGGTATTCAATTATTTTCATTAAAAATTAGACTCTTCGGAGAATTCCAATTATTTTTAATAAAATTTTAATCAAATTCCTCGAAGAATTTAATTATTTTTAAAAATGTGATTAAACTTCGTCGATAGAATTCAATTACCTATTTAAAAATTATTTGATAAACTTCTTTATGAGAATTCAATTTTAAGAAACATTCAATTATTCAATAAACTATTAATTTTTGTATTTAAATAATTGAATTCTCGTATAATTTTCTAATAAAAATTGATTTAAAAATGAATTTGATTCAAAATTAAATTTGTGTGTCAAAATTAAAAAGTTTTTGAAAGAGAAAATGGTTGTTTAGTTTCTTCACTTGAGAACGCCAAGATCGCCACCAGGTGGCGAGGACCTTTTCGATATTTTTATCGTCTTCAATTTTTTTAGAGTCTTAGAAATAATTTCTTCACTATGAAATTGATATTTAAAATCTATTTTTAAGAAATAGTAAACCATTAGTGTCTTTTTTAACGAAATAAGTTTGATTAGCAACTTATTTATTAAAATAGTAGCTAAATAGTTGTATATGGTGAAAAAACTGTCAAAAAGTATCAACAGTCACGCGAGTTCGAGACCTGGGAGTAAAAATAAATAAATTACGTTCACTATGAAAGTTCAAACCTTTAGGATCATTTAATAACAGTGGTAATAAAATTTTTAACGTGTACAATAAATTTTTAAAAATTATAGAAACAATGGGAAATTAGGACCAGGACAAGTACCACCAAAAGGAGGAAGACTGTCGGGTAATATTTCTTTTAAAACTATTTTTCAAATTCTCTCCAATTATGCCCATCATACTGTATGAAACTAAATTTACCAAAGTTTTTGTCGTTGGAAAAGGAAAGAATTTTTTTTCAATACCAAGAAGCAAGTAATATTTTTGTTCCCATTACATATCCTAAAAAAAAAATTTGAATCCAATCGAGGCTTTTCCGCCTCGATTGGATTCAAAATTTTTTTTAGGATATGTAATGGGAACAAAAATTATTTTTTTTAGTTTTATAATAAATAATAATAATAATAATAATAGTTAATAGTTCCTGAAAAATTGAAGCATCTTTATTCAATATCATATTCGACTTCCTTTGAGAACTGTGGTGATGTATTTTGATAAATAAATAAATAAATTTTAAACGTTGGTAACTTCAGATTCATTACACAGTTCCAAAAATAAATTCTCCAGGCATGGAAAATCGAATTATGCTTAAAGTACCTTATTTAGAAAAGTTTTTTCAAAGAGAGTCTTAAAATAAATCGAAAAAATTGATAATAATCAAAGTGTAATTTTAAAATGAAGATATTTTTATTCGCTTCCGAGCGATACTCTCTTTCTCTCTCGTCCAGATGTGAAAAGGCCAAGGCTAGGTCAAGTCCTATAACATACATATATATATATATATATATATAAAGTATAGTCGAGGTAAAGTTGCTTCCTTTTCTCAAGATATTTATTTACAGCAACTCAAAACGGAGAGTTACAGCTGGCCGTCTTCCTCAGCAGAGGCAATTTGGAGGTGGAAGTCATTTGTGCGAGAGGAATTTGTCCGGCGGATGGAGAAGTGCCATGTAGGTTGAAAACTTTCAATAAACTACATAAAGTATACAATGTATGTGGGGGTGTACATAACACGGTTTGCTGGTGGCCAGGTAGTAGAAAATAGCTGCTACCACCGCACAATTTACTACTTTAAAGAACTTTTAATTTCACAGAGAATAGAGAAATTTCAAAAGGACTAAGAGTTCTGTAAAATTTATCCAATCCTACAAACTCGCAAAACAATTAAAATTGTTTTAGATTTTCTTTGCTATACGTGTTTTTGTTACATTTACACAAAAGTATTATTACTTTTCAGTAAATAAAAATGTTACACTGAACAAAAATTTATTTGATTCCAATAAACGATTAATTGACTATTAATTAAATATTATTTGATTCAAGTAAATATTTAATTGATAATAGTCAATTAATCCGATTATTTGAATCAAATAAATTTCTTTTTTTCAGTTTACTTTTGTAACAATAAATTATATTCATTAAATTTTTACAAAAAAACTCAGAGACAGAAGAAAATTGTACAGAAAGTAAAATTTACATTTATTTCCAACTATTATTGATTTCTGTTTGTCTTTCCTGTCCATATTGATACTAAATTTTTCCTACACACAGATTTCACACTATTTCAATAAATTCCCAATCTTTTTTTCCATTATTATCTGCAATTATTGTCAATTGTGGAAAATTCAGTGCCTCATAGTCTCATAAATCGTTTTAACGGCAGCAATTAATCTGCAGATAGAATGTTGAACAAAGGCTGTTAAGGACATTTATTATTCAAATTGTTTTAACAAAGGCGTTGAATTCACTTTACTGACAAATTATACCACTTCTTATACTTGTAATCAGTCAATAATGTTCTTAAAAATTTCACTTTCCCTAGTGTAAAAATTCCTAATGCAATAACAATGCATTTCGATGCAGAGGACAAATGGAGAAAACAATTTTTCATCAAACGTTCGGAAAAATTGTTATCTCTCACTGAATTTTTCTTCCTAATGATTTAGGATTAACTTTTGATACTGAAAAAGTAATAAAGTGTTTATTAAAGATATTTAAATATATTCGAGATAAAACATTTCATTTATTATAATTTTAATAAAATTCTTAGAAACAATTCAATTTATTTTCAAAAAAATTTCGAAATTCAATTATTTTCAATATCTACAATTATAATAAAATTTTCCAAAAAAAATCAATTATTTTGAAGAATTTTAATAAAATTCTACGCAAATATTCAATTATTTTCATAAATAATAAAATTCTTACCAGACCTTAAAGATTTAAAATAAAATTTTCATTAATTAATTTGAGAAAAAGCAATTATTTAAAAGAATTTTTATTAAATTCTTCACTAAATATTCTTTAAATATTTTCAATTAAATTTTAATTAAATTTCTTGAAAGAATTCAATCATTTTCCAAAATTTTAATACAATTCTACACAAATATTTAATATTTTTGATAAATAATAAAACTTATTATTTTTAATACAATTTTATTTAAATTCCTTCGAAAAATGTAATTATACTTTAAAATTATATTAAAATTCGTCAAAAGAATTCAATTATTTAAAAATTTGTTGATATTATTACGAATTCAATTATTCTCATAAATAATAAAATTCGTCACGGGAATTTAATTATTTTGAAAATAATTTAAATAAAAAATATCTTTCGAAGAAATTTAATTCTTTTTATAAATAATATTTCACAGGAATTAAAATTATTTAAAATACAATTTTTCTAACATTGTTTCAAACAAAATGTATTATTAAAAAATATTTTTATAAAAAAATAAATTTTTCTTCGCAAAAATTTAATTATTTTAATAAAAAATAATAAAAATTATCGCAGAATTTCAATTGTTTTTAATACAATTCTACTTAAATTCCTTCGAAAAATGTAATTATTCTTTAAAATTATATTAAAATTCGTCAAAAGAATTCAATTATTTAAAAATTTGTTGATTTTATTGATTTCATTTTTAAAAATTTTAATAATATTCTATAATTACCTATAATAATTGAATTATATTTTCAATAAAATTTTAATTAAATTCGTCGAAAAAATTTGTAAGAATTTAATTACTCTCACAAATAATAAAATTCTTCGCGGAAATTCAATTATTTACAATTCAATTTTAGTAAAACTTTATATAAGAATTAAATAATTTTAAATAAAATTTTAATTTATATCGTCGAAAAAAATTAATTATTTTGAATAAAATTTTAATAAAAAAATTTTTCGAAGAAATTCAATTATTTTCATAAATAATAAAATTTTCACAGGAATCCAATTATTTAAAATACAATTTTCCTGACATTGTTTCAAACAAAATCTATTATTAAAAAATATTTTTATAAAGTTCTTCGCAAGAATTTAATTATTTTAATAAAAAATAACAATTATATTTCCAATTATTTGGAAATTTTGTCAAATTTAATTCAAATACATTATAAATTTTAAAGAATTTTTTTTCTACTTTTGAAAATTATTTTTAAAAATATTCGTATTTTCGAAGAATTTTCAATTTAAATTTAGAAAATTATTGAATTTTTTACAAATTTAGATTAGAAACTATTAGGATTATAAGAAATGACGTAAATATTTTTGATGAAAATTAAAAAAAAAAATCCGGGGTAATAAAATGAAGAATAAAATTTTTCTGATTTTTGTGAATCGTCTAAAACTAGTTTTTCTACTCGACAGATTTTATTTTTCAATAGCTACTTTTTTACTCCTTTTTTCTGATATCCATATCACTTTCCAAACTTCTGTTTCAGATACGTACATAAAGACCTTTCTTTGCGACGAAGGTAAAAAGCTTCAGAAACGCAAAACACGAGTTCAGCACTCACGAAATCCGCAATATCGTGAAACAATAAAATATTCCCGCTGCGATGCATTCGGAAGAATTCTCCTCGTAATGCTCTGGGAGAAGAAACAAGGATTCGGAAAAAATCAAGGACTCGGAGAAGCTGAAATCTGTTTGGACGATCTTCCTCTCACTGAATTATCCGTTGGCTGGTATATCCTATTTCCAATTCATAATCCTAGCACCCAGAATATTGATTCTCCATGATTGAAGGAAAAATGGGCTCTCGAACCTGCAGAACTCGACTTCAGACTCAGCTTATTGCTGAGAAATGATACCGAGAACAATGTCAAGATTATCTTTTGATATTCAATCAATCCCACATAAAACACCACATTTTGCGCAATTATAACGTTCAAAATATTTTATTTCCTCAAAAAAAAAAAAATTTCATTTTAATGCGACGAAAATAAAAATTCCAAACTCTAAATTTAAAGAAAAAAAAAAATAATAATCGAATCAAAAAATGAAATTTTTGCCAGGACAATCAATTCAATATAAATTTCATTTTAATGCGACGAAAAGAAAGAGTTGTTTACTATCAGAGAAAAAAAACTTGTCGCAAGCAAATTGGCAAAAATTCACAAATGCAAATATAAAGTTTGTGAAAATAGAATTCTATGAAATATCTTATTGAATTGAATAGGTAATACGAGAGAAAGAGAGGGAGAGAGAGAGAGAGAGAGATGATTATTTTTTTCACAATTTAACAAGGGTGCGAGAGAGTACGAGCGAGAGAAAGAGTGAGAAAGCGAGAAAAATGAGGAAAAGAAGAAAAAAGAGATAAAAAGAAATTTATAAAGAGCCAATCTTGGCAGAAGCAACGAGGGTCCATTTTTTCCAGCATCGAATCGATATTTAAGGCAAGAATCGTTTTGAAAAAAGCGAGAATCAATTGATATCTGTAAAATATTGTACTGGTTGATCCAGATAGTGGTTCAATTGAATCTCGCTAAACTGCGGAAAACGTTAAGTCGGAATCTAATACGTAAATATACATATTATACATTATACTATCGAAATATTTTCAAGACTTTATTAAAGTGAAAACATTTTTCACTAAATTTTACCAAATAAGACACTTTTGAAAATAATTAAAAAGAAAAACAAAATAAAACAAAACAACACGAAACAAATCGAAAGAAAACGAAATTTTAAGTCAATTTTAAATTTGACTAAATTTAAAGAAAGTTTTGAAAATATTTTCAACTTATATAACAGTAGTTAGAAAATTCGCTCGCTGGTCGAGTGAATTAAATTATATTTAGGGTCAAAAAATAAATTGATGGCCAATTATTTAAAAAAATATATAATACAAATATATATATATATACATATATATAGCGAAGAATCGATGTTTTAGGAATCGCACAATTTTTGTAGTGTGTAGACTGACGAAAAGCGGATTCCTCGACGAGCTGTTATATTATATCAAAATGTAATTGCAGTTCTGAATTCGACTGTGTGACATTTTCTATGCTATACGCTATCTCCCGTTTTATCCATTTTTTACTCTTTCGTACAATACTTCACTAAGAAATTTTATTCGACTATTGAAAAAAAAAGAAAATGACTTTCCTATATCATAAACTTCTCTATAGACAAATTAAACTAAAAAAATTATATACATATATATATATATACGAACTTTTCCACAAAAATCTGATCTCCAAAAAAATATTCGACAAAATGTTCACACGAATATTAAAAAAAAAAATAGGAATAGTGTTCAAACCTATAAATGAATGGAATCAGTTTCTAATTTTTAGAAAATTTATTCTTAAAAAAGACACATTTTTGCGCTCATCCCGCCTATAAACAATAAGGTATCGAAATCGAGTGTAATGTTATAGTGAAATATTCAATAATAGTATAGTAATATCAAATAGCAACTAGAAATTTAAAAAAAAAACTACGCAATAATACAAGGAAAGTAATGGAAAAACAAAAAAAAACTACATGTTCACAGTTATAGAAAATAAAATAGTCGAAAAAAAGAAGTGTTGCAATAATATTGTTTCACAAGAAAGTATATTCTACTTTCCACACTCTTTATTCGAACAATTTTCTAAAATAAAAAAAATATTTTCATTAAAAAAAAAATCTCAAGAAAAATAAAAGTATTTGGAAAAAGATGCAATATTTTACTAGATTTAAACTTTGAAAAAAACTGTTTAGAAATTTCGGTTTTCGTGAATTCTAAACATAGAAAACATAACGGCCTATAATAAGCTTAATTATTACCAAAAAAAAAATAAATAAAAACTGATTGTTGCTCCTCCCAACGAATGCAGGAATCTCTTCTTCTAAATAATACTATATAATCTCTTCGATAATTCAAAAATGAGTTGAGTTTAAATTTCTAAAAAAAAGTTCAAAAGTTCTAAGCTTAATAAAAAAAAAATAAGTGCTTCCTGATGACTTACTATCTATTGTTACTTGACCTGACTCAATCTATATACTACTAATACTACTCTAAGCTTATTATACTTCTACTTCTTAAAAATAAATTTCAATTGATTAAAAATAATGTTCAATTGAGTAAAAGAAAATTTCAAATGAGTAAAAATAAATTTCAATTGCTTAAAAAATAATAATTCAATTTATTAAAAATAGAGTTCAATTTATTAAAAGAAAATTTCAAATGATTCGAAATAAATTTCAATTGATTCGAAATAGAGTTCAATTGATGTAAAATAAATTTCAATTAATTCAAAATATAGTTCAATTGATTCAAAATAAATTTCAATTCGATCAAATTTCGAAATAAATTTTCATTAATTCAAATTTCAAAACAAATTTCAAAATAAATTTCAATCAGGGTGGTCACAATTTTCAGTTTATCAATTTCCCTGACATTTCTCTGACAATTTACTGACATTAAAATTATTTTCCCTGACAAAATTCATTTTACAGGAAAATATGAAAGTTTACTGATAATGAGTAAAATTTATGAATTTTAATAATATCTTAAAATTATAATTATATAACTCAACGTGAGTTCAATTATTTTCTACAATTTGCAACTAAATTTCATTTCTAAATCAATTATTTTCAATATTTTTTCGAAAGTTCTTCTAAAATTCAATTATTTAAATAAAAAAACTCAATTTTTTATAATAATTGTAACTGATCGTGTTTTTTTCTTAAGTTACTGAAGTAAATATTTTCAAAAAATTATAATAAAGAAAATTTTAAATTAATTTTTTAAAAATATTTTTAAATAATTTTTGAAAAATTAATAGTTTTTTAATTATCCTATTCAATTGAAAAATTTCCAAACAATTGAAATTTGCAAAAATCTTTTAAAAATAATTGAATTTTAGAAAAATATAAATAAAAATAATCAAAATTTTAAAGAATTTCAACTTAAATATTTATAATTTTTTAATAAAGTAAAAAAGTAAATTTTCATTAATTTTTATTCACTTTTTTCGAAGATAATTAAATCAAAAAATTTTGCGAAAACAATTCTAAGACTTAGTTTTTAAAAATATTTTAATGTAATTTTTTGAAAATAATTGAATTTCTTAAAAAAATTTTTGTATAATTTAAAAAAAAAGTAATTAATTTTTTGATAAATTTCATTTAAAAATTTTTAACACGATTTCTTTCTCCAAAATGTTGAAAATAATTCTAAAATATTATTTTTTTTTGTGTGTATTTGATTTTTTGGAAATATGTAATTAAAAATCTAGAAAGTACTGAATTTTAAAAAATTAGAAGCTAATTTTCATTATTTTTAATTTCTAAATTTTACAATTAAAGATTTTTCATTGACATTTGTGATAATGCAATTATTTTCAAAATTTGCAATTAAAATTCTTCAAAAGTTGACTTTTCAAAATTATAACAAAATACTTGAAAAAAATTTATTATTTTCAATTAAAACTTAGAAAATTTCAATTATTCAAAAAGATTTTTATTGCAGATAATATTTGAAAAATTTAATTATATCTTAAAAAAGTGATTCAAAAATTATTTTGTGCAAGATTTGTTTATAATTATTTTTTACACTTTCAAAACCGATATAATTTACATTTTATACTAAAAAAAATGTTATATTTTGTTGGAATATTTGGAAGAAAAGTCAAAAAAATTGAAATTTTTTAAAATAAGAAGAAAAGTCTCAATTTTCTTAATTTCTCTGCAAAAAAATTTGATTTCCTGTCATTTCCCTGACTTTGATGACATGTAGCCACCCTGTCAATTATTTAAAAATACATTTTAAAAAATACGAAAGTCATGATCATTTCAATTACAAAATTTATTCTTTTCTCATTATCACTTATTCAGGGATACAATTATATAATTTGACTTTGAATTTCGATTCGATTTTGACTCTGTCATTGACTTTAATTTTAACTTTCATTTTCACTTTGACGTTAACTTTGATTTTCACTATCACTTTCACGTTGATTTTCATTTTTAATTTGACTTTCGAATTTAAAGTCAAAGTGAAGGTCAAAGAGAAAGTAAAAATGAAATTTGAAGTGAAAGTCAAAGTGGAAATGATAATAAGCGTCAAAGTAATGTCAAAATCGAATCGAAAGTGACAGTCAAATTACAAAATCGCACCCTAACCCTAAAGTTAGTGTCGTCGCTAAGCGTCAAAAAGAATGTTTTTTCCAAACCCGAAAATAATACAATATTCAAGTTAAAAAAGCACTTAGAAAAAATTTTTTACTCCCTAGGAGATATAAGACGTGAAATTAGTGACATTTTCATCTCTAAAAACCACAAATAATCACTATTTTTCTAAGAATATCAAATTGAGACAAAAAAACGTTATTAAAATTGTTTCGAAGCAACGATTTGAGACGTTTTTCGTCTGAATTTGATATTCTTAGAAAAACAGTGACATTTTTCGACACTAAGCGTCGACGCTAAGAAACATATTTTTATTCAATAATTAAATAAATTTTTTTTTAAATCTCCTTGAAATACAAAAGTCTTATTCAAGTTGAAAGAAATTTTTCCAAAAAGAATAAATTTTTAATTTGAATTGAATTTACATAATTTAGAAATAAAATTAAAAATAAATTAAAATTCTCAATTATAATTTGAGTCTATAATAGGTATATATTTATATATACAATTTCTTTTAAGATAATGGTTGTGACGAAAATACTCAACAGGTGTTCGCGTTCGTGGAGGGAAAATATATATATGAACTCTGTATTAGTGCATCACAATTTTCTACACAACAAAAATGGCCTACGCTATTGTGTCTGTATAACTTTATAACGTTTGACAATCGATCTATTTAGACGCTTTTACAATTAAAAAAAGAAAAAATGAAGAAAAAAAAACTATGAAATTTAAACAGTAAAAGCGTACATTATAAATATTCGATATAGAAACATAAATGAACTGTACTAATTAGTTAAGAAAATGAAAATTACGCTGTGTATAAATTATGAAATATAAAAAGCGATCGACAGAATTCTTTATGAACCAAAGTTTTAAAATTCTCTCTCATTCTTTTCATTAAATGACTTAAAAATGTGATAACTAGTTATTGTAAATTTTCAGTTTTCAATTTTTTGTTATTTTCCATTGTTTTTAATGATGTGAACATTATTCTTTTAATTTCGATTTTATTTATTTATTATTAAATTATTATGATAATTATTGTTATATAATTATTATAATATAATAATATAATATAAATTAAGGCAAATAAATCGAAAACATCCGGTCAATGAATAAAATATTTATTTATAAAGGATCTCGGACGTTAAAGATTATTTACATAATAATATAATATAATATAATAATAATATATAATTATTTTAATTATTTTAATTAATTCACTTGAGAAGTTTTTTATAAAAATCTTTTTTTAATTTTATTCATATAAATAAACTTTTCGAAATATTATCCAGATTAAAATATACGCAATGAAAAAAATTTATTTGATTTAAATATACGATTACCTGTCTATTTTCGAATAAATATTTACTTTCTTTATTTTTTTATATTTTATATAATTTTTATATTAGGTACATTATTTAAATTTTAATGACTTTCTTTTCATTTTTTAAAAATTTTGTATTTAATTTTAATATTCAACTATTTTTATTGTAATTTATAATTTATATTATAACTACTCTATTCTTTTCATTTCGCTTGTGAGAGAATTTTCATGCCCTCTAGGTGTCAGTTAACTGAACTTTATTGGCGCGAAATTCAAAAATAAAATATTTAATTAATAATAATAATAATAATACATAATTAATTAATATTTATAAAAAAAAATAATTTTGGTGGTAAATTTCAGTTTCCTGAAGTTAGCGTCAACGCCGAGCGTCAAAAAGAATTTTCTTCAAGAAATCAAAAAAGAGTCCAACAATGTTTTCAAGTGTTTTACATTAAAACGGACCCTGAATATTTTTTTAACTCTCTAGATAAATGAAAAAAGTGAAATTAGTGATATTTTCATCTCTAAATATCAAAAATAATTGTTTTTGACGCTAAGCTTCGACGCTAACTTCAAACACACTAAATTTCTTCTTAATATTTACTAAAATTCGCATCTAAATGAATAAAAATTTCATGACTATATAAATAGAAAATTAATCGTTCACTTGAATCAAATAAATTTCTTTTCAGCGTACGTAACATTATTATAAAAGAATAAAACTTAAAAAAAAAATTAGTCACTGAAAATAATAGAGAGAAATCTAAAACATATTTTTATTCGCGTTCATATATGGAATGTCAAGAAAATTGGAAAAATTCGAATTTTTTCCAATTGTTTGTATATTCGACCTGAGAAAGATGATAATTATTAATTGACGAAACAATTAATTAATTATCCAAATGATATCTCATCCCTTACATATCTGTGTTGTAATTTGTTCTATATATGTACGACAATCTTTGAAAAAAAAATTCGTCAATCGAGCATCGAGTAGATTTATTTTTAAATCTGAATTTTTAATGCACAATGTATGAAATTTAATTTCTTATATATTAACCGAAGGAATTAAATATGAAAACGGTTTCAATTTCCTATACAATATACATTGTCTTACAATACTTTTTTTTAAAAAGATTCTACTAACAGTTTTCTATTTTACAAAACAGAATTTTCTATATAATATATTTTTACTATACAAAAAATATTTTCTTTATGTGCATGATAGTTTAACAAAAATCTTTTTAATGTATAAACATTTATAATTTTTTCGTATATCAATAGAATATTTGTCAGTTAAAAATATAATAATTGTAAATTAATTAAATATCACAATTATTAAAAAAAAAAATTGACTATTTTATGGAAAAAAAATGTTTACACGCACTAATATTTTGTGTTGATGAATTTCATAAAAACTGACAGAAATGTATTGTATAATTAAGCATAAAATTTATGTGAGTGACGTTTAAAAAAAGGTTGAAAATGAAAATAAAAATCATATTACTAGACAAATTATTAGTTTTGTTCTTCTTTTTAATAAATCTCTCAAAATAGTTTTAATACATAGTCAAAATAGTTTTAATTTAATTATTTATAGAGTTGTTTCTTCTTTAAAATGGTTTATTAAGTAGGCATGAAGCATTCTTCGAACTGAAAAACAATTACGATGTTTTTAATTAAATTTTTCCTTTTTAAACGATTTAAAAACGAACTTTTTAAATTTAAATTAAACTTTTTAAATTTGCTTTTTAGTCAAAAATTGATAAAAACTAAAAATTAATTAAATTATTACTTGAAAAACTGTTGCATTTTCAGTTGATTGCATATTGAAAATTCCTTTGAATCATCACTTCCAGAAAATAAAACAGACATAACGTTTTCTTCATTTACATTACAGTCGTGTTGAGCAGAAAATCTAGAAAATTTACGTTTGGTAAAATTCTGAACGTTGATGATCAATAATGTAGAAGAAAAAATATTTTTCCCGTCAAATTTTTATAGATTTTTGTATAAAAATCATTTTTACAAAGTTTCTTGATTCATCATTTTTAGAAAAAAAAATTTTCAAAGAAATTTAATAAAATTTAATAAAAATTAATAAATTAATAAATTTAATAAAAAATATTTTTTTTCAATTTTTAAAACGTTATAAACTTTACCTACGAATCACTATACCAACTATACCAAGTAAGTAAACAGAAAATATAATAAAAATCCATTTTGTATTAACTGACAAATAAAATCCAGAAAATATTTAAATAATTAAAATTAAATTTTAATTTCAAAATAATTTAAACTTAATGATAGAGAATTTTAATTTAGTGATAAATAAATAAATTAAATAATTTAGTTTAGTGCTAATGGCAAACTAATTTTAATTTAGTGATAAATAATTTAATGTTCATTAATTTTTAATTTAGTGATAAGTAAATTAATTTTACTAAATAATTACAGTGAAAGAAACTATTTTTACATACGTGTGAGCTAATTCATGAGCAGCAACAATTATTGTTTTATACTGGCCATTATCATTTACAACTGCTAAATTATTCGGAAAATCGCAGGCAGAATTATTTATAGAAAAACCTTGGAAAAATAAATTAATTATTAAAAATTTCTTTTTTTACATCTTTAACGAAAAGTAAAATTTAATGTTTACCTAAAGTGCCTGGTAACCAACTATTCCAAACATCTTCTCTGTTATGATAAAATGAAACAATATTTATTATTTATTTATATCTCCAAATCTGAATTATTTATTCTCTCAATTTTATTTTAGTTTTAAAAAGACTTAGTAATTGACTGTTCACTATCAAATTAATAATATTTCACGATTTCAAATTAATAATAAAAAATAATTCTAATTAATACAAAATTTACTTCATGTAAACTAACAGTAAGTAAATAAATCTTCTCTTACCCTGACATTATTACTGCTACGTCAAACTCTAAATTCAGTGGATTGAAATGTTGGAATATTTTTTTTCTACTCTTTGTCAAAAAAATATTATGCTTTGCAAAATCATCCTTGAAAGAGAGAACAAAATTTTCTTTTGTTTAAAATATTTCACGAAATTTACTAAATAAGGAAAAATTCATAAAATAAAAGAAAAATTATTTTACCATCTGAACAATACCCGCAATATTTAAAGCAACTTGAGGTTTAGTTAAATTACTATAAACTTCGTTAACTGCCTGCCAGTATGTAGAAATATATTTTGATACTTCTGCCTCATTTGCAAAAAATCTAAAAATTACAAAGAGAAGAAATTTTTTTTTAAATTGTTTTTGTTAAAGTTTTTTTTTAAAAAAGTTAAAAAAGTTTAAAGTTTAAAGTTTTTAAAGTTTTTTTTAAAAAAAAAAAAAAAAAAGTTTAAAAAAAGTTTAAGTTTAAGTTTAAGTTTAAAGTTTTTTTTTTAAGTTTTTAGTTTTTTTTAAGTTTTTTTTAAAGTTTAAGTTTAAGTTTTTTTTAAAAGTTTTTTTTTTTTTTTTTGTTTTTTTTTAAAGCTGAACAATTTTTTACTCCTAACAATAATTAAATAAATAATAAGATAGTAATTAAATAAAAAATAATAAATACTAAAATAGTAATAAAATAAAAAATAATAAATAATAAAACAGTAATAAAATAAAAAATAATAAATAAAATCAAACAGTAGTAAAATAAAAAATAATAATAAATAATAAAATAAAAGTGAAATAGTAAATTATAATAAATAAAACAATAAAAAAAGTATCTTTTATTTCTACTTACGAACGAAATTTGCGATCTGTGATAATTAAAATCTGAGGATACACTATTTCTAAAAAATCATCGTCCGATGTTGTTAAATTATTAGAATTAAAACTTTCTGCATTATTTTGAATTGCTATTTGTTTTGCATAAACAAAATTTATGAAAACAAAAAAAAATGTACAGCAAGAAAATTTTCCCATTCTTTTTAATATAAATTTACAATTTGCACTTTAAAAAACAAGTAATATATTTTCATATTACGCAATGCACAATTTATATATGCGATTAAAAATATTCAATTATCATAAGAAAAGAATTTCTTCTATAGATAAATAAAACTACTTCTAAAAGGAATCATGCAAACGAAATTAATTCCTTTATCAATGAATAGAATAGCATAAAAATGTCAAATTATTAACAGCAACTGCTTTATAGAATTGAATGAGGAAATAATTTAAAATACAAATTTAAATTCTGCGTCAAACAAATAATGGACTTAATTCTTAATTTTGGCAATAATCGGACGGCTATTCAAAACAAAAGTTAATCTAATATCATAATTTCATATTTTAATTATTTTAATAGAATCAAATTAAAAAAAGCAAATTGAATTTTAAATTCGTTTTTGTAAAAACGCATGGAATTTAATTCTCAACTTTTAAAATAATTTAAAATTGCATTTGAATGAAAATTACAATTTTTTGTCGACAAGAAATAATGGAAATAATTGTTAAATTTTAGGTTATGTTATTTATTATTTTATTTATTACTGTATTTATTTTTCTAATTTATTTACTATTTTATTTATATTTTATTTATTTATTAATTATTTTTTATTAAAATGCAACTTTAAATTGTTTAAAATGCTGAAAATTTAATTATTTACGCTTCTTTTGAAACCAATTTAAAATTCGTAACTTTCATCAATTTACATATAGAAATCAACATTTATTTTATTTACTATTCCTACGCTTTATGAAAATTTGTAAAAAAATTCAGAATTTAATTTTTAATTTTTATAAATAAATGCCCATATTTCCTCTTTCGATAAATAATAATTTTGTTTTTGTGTATAAAAAAAAAAACTTTCGTGTATAAAACTATAAAAAAAATATTCAAGACATTCAAATTTTTCGCGCCTTTACGAGCAGGTGTAAAATTGGACATGCGCAGTTCACAGTTAGCGTTTCGGAGCACTCCGACAGCCTGACAGTATTAAATACGCTTATGTCAAAAGATACTACGTAAATTATTATATTTATTTATCAAAATGTCAAAAATTAAAGTCACAATGGAATGGAAAAAGCGCGTCAAGTCCGAATATATGCGACTTCGACAAATGAAGAGATTTAGACGCGCTGAAGAAGTTAAATTGGCATGGAACCATAATAGAAAGGTTATGACAGGTAAGTTTAGTATAGTTATTTCAAATCTATTTTTATTTCCAAATTTATTTCTTTTTCTCATAATAATATTTTCGAATTAAAAATCTTTTGAAAATAAATAAATTTTAGTGAATCTTTATTTATTTAGATCTAATTTTTTGTTAGGTATTAATGAACTGTTCATGTTGTTGATGTTCATTTTTAAATGTAATACATAAACAAAGTGTTGTAATTGTAATTTAAATTGTTATTGTAAATTTATAATTTATAATCATAAATTTGTGTTTTATAAATTGTTAAATTTTACATATTATAAAATTGTCATTTATATTCACTGTTAACTTGAAAGTATCAAATTGCAACGAATTGATACCAAAAATGTGGGTCAAATGAAGAATTAATCTAAATTTTCCGTGTCAATTTGATCCATTTTAGTATCTCGTTGATAGTTTCAAGAAAACTGTAAATTACGAAAATTTAAAACCTATTTTTCTAACAGAATTGCTGGATATTGAGAACAAATATTGGGCAGAAGGAAAAGCAATGTGGTTTGCAAAACAAGAAACGCATGTTCCTAGTATGAAAAAGGCTGAAATTAATAATGGCGAAGGAGACGTTCAAAATTGTTCGATAAAAATATTAAATTCAGTAACACCGATACCAACAATGTACACCTGGGCTCCAATTCAAAATAATTTTATGGTTGAAGATGAGACTGTTTTACACAACATTCCTTACATGGGTGATGAAATTCTCGATCAAGATGGCACATTTATCGAGGAATTAATCAAGAATTACGATGGAAAAGTAATACATTTTGAAAATATAGAAATAATCTCACTGACTCGCACAATTTGTCCTTTGGCAAAACAAATATAAAACTGCAACCAGCATACCCACTAATTTTTAAAAATTAAATATTTTTTCTGTTTTAAACCAACAGAAAATTTGAAAATTGAAGATGGAGCTGAAACTGACACCCATTAGCATCTACTAAATCTTCAAAATTAAAATTTTTTTTGTTTAAAACCAACAAAAAATTTTAAAATTAAAGATGATGCTGAAAGAGACCCCCTATCAGTATCCACTAATGTTTCAAAATTCAACATTGGTTTAAAACATTTCAAAAATTAAGTTGGTGCTAGTTTCAGCTTCCTGCAACAAACAGAGAAGAAAACAAAGTAACAAATTTTTTTATAGGTTCATGGGGATAGAGAATCAGGCTTCATGGACGATGCAATTTTCGTAGACTTGGTGAATGCTTTATCCAACTGTGAGAAAGAAGATAAAGAGAAAGAAGCACCAAAGAAAGTGAAGGAATCTCTAAAAGAGAAGGAGAATAATAAAAGTGATGATAAAGAGAAAGGTGATGAACAATCGCAAAAAAATTATCCTTCAAGTGTTCCCTTTCCATCTATGCAAGTCTTCTATGTAAGTTCGAAACATAATGTTGTACATACTTCCATAGCATCTTCAATTTATTTTTCTTTTTACAGGCAATTCACAGTATGTTTCCCGATAAAGGAAAACCAGACGAACTCAAAGAAAAATACATCGAACTAACCGAAAGATCCGATCCAAATGCTCTACCACCCGAGTGCACACCGAATATTGATGGAATTAACGCCAAAAGTGTTTCTCGAGAACAGGCTATGCACTCTTTTCACACTCTCTTTTGTCGTCGATGTTTCAAATACGATTGCTTCTTACATCGTAAGTATTTTAAATTCATAATTTTTTACTAAAAGGTTTTCCTTTAAAAAAAATCCTAAAAGGGAGAAAACCAACCTCCTGATTGGAGAAAAAAAGAAAAATAATCTAAAATAGAAGTATTCGAATCAATTCAAATTGTGTATGATTCTCTGACTAATGTCGCAGCCAAGGAAACATCTCGAGGTAAAATTATAAATTTTGAATGTACTTCCTCAGCTCACAAATATAAGGAATCGATCATCGCTGTAATCAATCATTCAAAAATACGTGTCAAAAGCTTATGAAAGAGAAAATTGAACTTAAAAAGGTTTTCTTATTTTTAGGTCTGCAAACCTCTCATCCGGGACCAAGTGCACAGAAGCGTAAAGGCCCCGACATGAAATCTTTTCCTGAACCCTGTGGTCCTGAATGTTACATTCATTTAGTAGGTTTAGAAACTTTTATTTTCTTGCTTTTAACGTAATTTGCTAAAAACGTTTTCCTTTTAAGTCAATCAACCAAAAATTACCCAAAAAAACGTGTTCCTAAAGTTACCGACACACAGCATCGGGAACTGTTTCAGTTTTTTGGAGATTAGAGAAGAAAATGTTACTTCGTTCACCTCGGGAGTCAAAAATCTGTTCGTGGCACAGTTTTTAATCTTTAACCTTTAAAAATTCGTTTCTTCCGTATTACGCGAAAAATCTTTTTGATGCTAAGTGTCAATAACTTTAAGAACATAAAAACAAGACAAAAAGTACTTGGACTGATTCTAAAAATTTCAGGAGGGAATAAAAGAGAAATTAGCAGCACAAGCAGCTGACGTAAAAGAAGAGGATGGAGAAGAGAAAAAAGGTGGTCCTAGAAAAGTTCGTAAACAAACAAGTGTCGATTCGGGAAACGAGGCTAGTAGTGAGGACAGCAACGACAGTAATAAATATCTACAAGGAGAAGGTTGTCCAGGTACTTATTTTTTCTCCTAAATAAAAAACTCAGGTTCCTAAAGTTAGCATAATAATAGTTTTCCAAGACGACGACAACTTCAGGAACAAAAAAACTTATCTTCCATAACTAACACTTCTTGTTTTATCCTTTTCAGACTTCTCCCAAAATGTGAATAAAGATTCCAAGCCCGATGAAACAATTGACGATCAAAAGCAACTTGAAAATCAAACACCCTTCTCTCTAATGACAACGGATCATCGAGCAACAATGGAGAGTAAATTCTCCTGGACCGGCTCTGAACAAAGCATATTTCGTGCACTCCACAAAGCCTTTCCCGGAAATCCTTGTGCTTTAGCTCAAATAATGTTGACCAAAACTTGTCAAGAAGTCTACAAATTTTCCCAAAAAGAAGCAGCCGACATTCCGGCCGTCGAGAGCCTAAAGGACCTAACACCACCCAGAAAGAAGAAGAAAAAGCATCGTCTCTGGTCGATGCATTGCAGAAAAATACAACTCAAGAAAGATTCTGGTAAATCTCTAAAAATGCCATTACTCTCAAAAAGAAACAAATGTTGCTGAAGTTAGCATCGACGCTCAGCGTCGGAAATAAGTTTCTTCCAATTATTTGAGAAAGACGCTATCTTCAGGAACCTAAAAATAATCCCTTTTAACAAAAATATTTCCTTCTTTCACACAGGTGCAAATCATGTCCACAATTTCTCTCCCTGCGACCATCCAAATCAACCATGCGACAATTCGTGTCCCTGCATTCAAGCGCAGAATTTCTGCGAAAAATTCTGTCAATGCAGCAGCGAATGTCAGAATCGATTTCCCGGTTGTCGATGTAAAGCTCAATGTAACACTAAACAATGTCCGTGCTATTTAGCGGTACGAGAATGTGATCCAGATTTATGTCAAACTTGTGGTGCTGATCAATTTCATATTACGAAAATATCGTGTAAAAATGTTAGCGTTCAACGTGGACTCAGTGAGTTATTTGTCATTTGTACTAAAAATAAGTTTTTAAAAAATTAATGGAGTGTGTACGTATATTAATGGCTTATTTTTTTTCTACAGATAAACACTTATTAATGGCACCGTCTGACGTTGCTGGCTGGGGAATTTTCCTAAAAGAATCCGCGGGAAAGAATGAATTTATCTCCGAATATTGTGGAGAAATTATAAGTCAAGATGAGGCCGACAGACGAGGCAAAGTCTATGACAAATACATGTGCAGCTTTCTGTTTAATCTAAATAATGGTAAAAAAATCTCTTTAAATTAAAAAAATCTCTTAACTATAAAGAATTTATTAATTTCTTTTCCAAAATTTTTCAAGCTTTTTCAAATTTTTTTTATTACAATAATAGTGGCATTTTCATATTTAAACGCTAACGTCGACGCTAAAAATCGAAGACTATTTTTTTTAAAGATTTTTAGAGATCAAAATGTCACTAATTTCATTTTTTTTTCATTCAATTCTGCATTCAAATTATGTTCCGGGCCCTTTTTTACCCAAAAGCATAAAAAAAAACTGTTAGCGTCGTCTCAGAGCGTCGAAAACACTTTTTTTCGCAAAATAAAAAAAAAATCAAACAATTTCCTCACACATTTTAGTTTGAAAAAGTGCCAGGAACATTTTTTAATTCCCTAGGGAAAAAAAATTGAAATTAGTGTCATTTTCATATCTAAAAACAGAAAAGAATAGTTTTTGACTCTTAGCGTCGACGCTAACTTCAGGAACATAATAATATTTAATTTTGAAATTGCTTCTGTTTCGTTTTCGCTTTTTATTTCACGGAATAATTTTTGAAAACATTTCTAACGAAAGAATATTTCGTTCATTTAAAAGTTCTAATTTTTTTTAACATAAAGAATATTTTTCAAATTAATTTTTTAATTACTTTGAAAATTGTTAATTCATTTTCTAATTTTTGTCACTAATTAAAATTAATTGTTCGCAGATTTTGTCGTTGACGCGACTAGGAAAGGAAATAAAATAAGATTTGCAAATCATTCTATTAATCCTAATTGTTATGCCAAAGTTATGATGGTAAATGGCGATCATAGAATTGGCATTTTTGCGAAAAGGGCAATTCAACCTGGCGAAGAATTGTTCTTTGATTATAGGTAATTACTAAAATTATTTTAAAAAATATCTTAATAAAAAAAATATTGTAAAAAGTATTATAAAAAATATTTTTAAAAATATTTTAAAAAATATTTTTAAAAATCTGTTTAAAAATATTGAAAAAAATATAAATTAAAAATATATTTATTAAAAAAAATCTTTATTAAAAAATATATTTATTTAACGAAAAAAATTACTTATTTTCATTTTTATTACCACTTTTTGCAAAATAATTAACCAGCATTTAATTATTTCAGATATGGACCAACAGAACAACTGAAATTTGTTGGCATTGAACGTGAAATGGAATTTCTGTAATTAAATTAGAGATCTACTCGAACAAAATCGAATTAAATTAGCCAATTCCGAAGTTGAATTTTGGAATTTTCAATTGGTCAGTTATTATTGTAAATGTACGTTTTAAATTATTAAATTATACATTTAATAAATAATTTATACCTTAAATTATACTTTTACCGAATAATTTATATTTTTCAAATTCTACTTTTAATAAATAATTTATATTTTAAATAATACCTTTAATAAATAATTTATATTTTAAATTAAATTGTTAGTAAATAATTTATACTTTAAATTATAATGTTATTAACATCGAATAAATAAAATACGAGAAATTGTTTAAATAAATTGAGTTTTTATTAAACCCATGAGAAATGATTAATAATATTATTTATAAAACAGGGACGTGCAATATCAACATGTAAGTAAATTAAGAATAAGAATTATATAATTAGTTAATTGAATTTTCATACCAGGGCGTATATAATTAAATAAAGTTCTAATTAATTTGCCCCGGAGAAATTAATTCATGCAGATTTCCCAAAAGTCCCCAAGCAAAAATAATAATAATTATTATTATTATTATTATTATTATTATTATTATTATTATTAGTAATAAAATTATAATTTTAATTTTAATAATTAATAATAATTAATGATTATAATAAAAATAATAATAATAAAATAATCTTGTCTAATAAGATTAGTACGATTAATACTTGTTATTAATTAGGATTATGATAATTATTTATTATCTAGTTGATTATTATCTTAATTAAAACAAATATCAACGAAAAGAAAATGTCAAGGAAGAGGAAGAAGCACAATTTTGAAAATTTCCTTCATTAGGGACCGTTGAACTTAAAGTATTATTATAACATCGCGTGCTTGCGGGAGTTATTTTGAACACACTATAGAAAAGCACAAGCTCAAGATAGAGTCGCTTTCCAGCCACCAGTTGCAGTCGCGACCGCGAAAGCGGGCCGACAAGAATTTTGTTCAACTCGTCTTCACTTTTATGAATTACAACACAAAAAAGAAATTTCCAGTGCTTCCTTAAATGAATTTCTTTACGAAATGTGCGAATTCTAAACAAATAATGAAAATAATTAAAATTAATTTTTATACATTTGAAAAAATGTCATGTATGTTTAATGCAAAAAATAAGTGAATTTTTCTTTTATTTTCAAAATGAATGACGACCAAACATTTTATGAAATTAGTTTCAAATAATAAATATAAAATTTTGAGTGAATTTTAGTGATACTGAAGAAAAGGGAAAAAAAGAAAAAAGTCGATAAAGAAAATAACTATGGAGAACGGCGTTTTTGAAGACGAAGGTAATAAACAAAAAAAAAAAGAGTGCATGTCAACTAATGTATAAAGTACTATTTTTATATAGCTATCTAATCTTCCTTTTTTTCACGAATTAAAAGCGTACTGTTTGTTAGAATTAAAAAGAATATTGTTTGCAAGAATAAAAATAAATTACACTAAAATTTTTAATGTTTTTTTTCTATTAAAACTATTTTCAATTTTAAACGTTTTTTTACCGTTTTCAATTTTTAATGTTTTTTTTCCATTAAAACTATATTCAAAAATTATTAAATTGTACAAAGCTAAAATCTGAACGTTCAAAACGACGAAATTTGTTGACAAAATAAATATTTTCTAAAATTGCCCCTTAAAAAGCAAAAGTTTAATTTAAACTCTAGTTTTTCTAATAGATAAAAATAATAATTTTTTTTTTGCAATAAAATTTTAATTCGAAATCTAAAATAGATTTCGTTTATTCGAACATTCGGAACTTTATATAGGGACAAAAAAATATAAGTTCTCATTATAAGTACTCGAAGTAATTAAATCTAAAGCAAGTAATTGAGTTTGAAATTTTCAGTTTTAGTTAGAAAAGCATTGAACGTGATATTTATTTAAAATGGAATCGAATCGAATAGTTTCTCAAAGCCTTGGAATTCCTAGCCAACGTATATATACGTACTTTAATATATGAAATCTAGCGTATCATATACATTTGATATGATTTTTCCTCATCTTTTTCCACAAAATTTGCATTCATATATATTACATTCCATTCCATTGATAAGAAGCTATATCTTAGATTCGTCCTATACACATTCTTTTTTTCTCCAACTTATTCTTATCGAGATTTCCTTTTTTTAAAGGGAAAAAAAAATTGATACGAAACATCGCAGAGATAAAAGGGATTACTATTTTCATCCGGGCAATATATTCTCAACAAAAATTTTAACAAAGAACAATAAATTTTGTATTATTTAATTTTTATTTCCCGCATTTTCCGCTATTTATTGAAAAACAAAATATATATTTCTAATTCAACAAATGGAATTTTAGTATTTCGTATTTTTTACTATTTCGTAGTTTTACCATTTCGTAGTTTTACCATTTCGTACTTTTTAGTATTTAGTATTTTCTAATATTTTGTACTTTTACTATTTCGTATTTTCTAATATTTTGTACTTTTACTATTTCGTATTTTTTAGTAATTCGTAATTTTACTATTTCATACTTTTTTAAATTTATAGTACTTTTTAGTATTTGGTATTTTTAGTAATTAGTGTTTTAATTTTTCCTATTTTTTATTATTTCGTATTTTTTACTATTTAGTATTTTTAGTAATTAGTTTGTTTTAGGTTTTCGTATTTTTTATTATTTCGTATTTTTTAGTATTTAGTATTTTTACTATTTTACACTTTTTACTATTTAGCATTTTAGTATTTTATTTTTTAATTTTTATTATTACTATTTTTGTTTTTGTTTTTTTCGTACTTTTTAGTATTTCGTATTTTTAGTAATTAATGTGTTTGATTTTTTTGTATTTTTTACTATTTCGTATATTTTAGTATTTCGAATTAAATAAAAAATAAATTATTAAAATTAAATTATTATATAATTAAAATTATTTAGTTCATAACTAAATCTAATTTAGACAGTAAAAATGATTAAATACTACAAAACATACTAAACACAAAAAATTCCAAATACTAAAATATAAGAAGTACTAAAAAATATGAAATAATAAAAAAATAAGTAAAACTAAAAAACACTAATTACTAGAAAATATAAAATATTAAAAAAATATTAAATAGTAAAAAATACTAAATACTATTTAATATTTTTCAGTATTTTTTATTTTCAACTAATTAGTGTGTTTTAGTTTTTCCTATTTTTTAGTATTTAGTATTTTTAGTAATTAGTATTTTAATTTTTCGTATTTTTTTATTCTTTCGCATTTTTTAATATTTAGTATTTTTACTATTTCGTATTTTCATTATTTCGTATTTTTTAATATTTAGTATTTTTAGTAATTAGTGTGTTTAAGGTTTTCATATTTTTTATTATTTCGTATTTTTACTATTTTACACTTTTTACTATTTAGCATTTTAGTATTTTATTTTTTAATTTTTATAGTATAACTATTTAGATTTTTGTATTTTATCGTACTTTTTAGTATTTCGTATTTTTTTTCTTCGTATTTTTTACTATATTTAGTATTTTTAGTAATTAGTGTGTTTGATTTTTTTGTATTTTTTACTATTTCGTATATTTTAGTATTTCGAATTTTTTACTATTTTGTATTAAAATATATTTAAATTATTATATAATTAAAATTATTTAGTTTATAACTAAATCTAATTTAGAATGTAAAAATTATTAAATGCTAAAAAAATACTAAACGCAAAAAAATTCCAAATATTAAAATATAAGAAATACTAAAGTATTTCGAACTTTTTAGTATTTAGTATTTTTTATATTTCTTATATTTTAATATTTGGAATTTTTTTGTGTTTAGTATTTTTTACTATTTAGTATTTTTTTTAATATTTAATAATTTTTACTGTCTAAATTAGATTTAATTATAAAGTAAATAATTTTAATTAAATTGTTAATATAATAACTTATTATTAGTTAAATTCTCTTTAAGTGAATTTTAATAAAAATAACTAAAACTTTGATAACTAAATATATTAGTGAAAGTTGACTAATTTATTAGTTATTTTCTACTAAGAATTAGTTAATTTTTACTAATAAGTAGTTAATTTTGAATAATAATTAGTTTAATTATTCTAATAATTAGTTAATTTCTAATACTAGTTAGTTATTTTTTATTAATAATTAACCTTTTTTTTTACTAATATAATTAGTTAATTTCTCCTAAAAATTAGTTTAAAAAAATTTTCACCTAACAATCAGTTAATTTCTACTAATAATCAATCATTTTCTATACTAATTCAGATTTAGATAACATTATTTCCTATATTTTCCACCATATCCTCATTTTTTAATTGAGAAAGAGTTATAAATAATTTAATAAATGTGTGACATCAGGTGACGTAAAGTTTTAGCTAAAATTCAAACTACATTTGAGGTGTACAACTACGCCTCGGGTTATCATCATTTAATAAATAGTAGAGAAACTTGTTGAAGTAGGTGCACATATATGCAAACGTCAAAATTCATATAAACTTGGATTTTTGCACATTTTTTCAAATATAATTTCTTTTTCAAAAGAACAAACAAAAAAAAAAAACTCAACTCACACGTTTTTAAATATTTGCGCAATACCATAACTGAATCAATGATTTAATGAAATACTATCTCAACAACAACACACAAAACAAAAAAAAAAGAAAAGAAAATCAACAAACAAGAGGCGCATGTAGAAACTGTGAACTGTCAATACCAGGTACAACTGGCACACTTCCTAACAATCTAAATAATGTCACTATTCATAATCTGTTTGAAATTTTACCGCAGCATCAATATTTTATATTACATTTCACCAGATTTTTTAAATTCAAGAGCAAAATTTTTTTATCCATTATTTTTTTTTAATTTCTTCTCTTTATTTCAACAATTTGTTGTTCAAAATTTTTTCCAGATAAAATCTTTTTTCGTGTTATAATAATAGTAATAATTTAGATTAATAAAATTTTATATCAACAATTTTTATAAATTTAAAATTATTTTAATTATTAATTTACTTTAATTTATTTTTTTGAAGTAAATAGACTTCAAAATAAATTATTTTTAATTCAAATTAATTTAATTATTAATTTTCTATTGTTTTCAAAATAAATAATTAGGTATTAATTAAAATTAATTAATAATTGAATTATTAATTTACTATCGATTGGAAAATAAATTATTATGAATTAAAATTAATTAATAAATTTATTTATTTATTAATTTCGTGAATAAGAATGTTGTAAATTAGCTATAAACTAAAGATAATTGAATTACAATTACAATATTAACACTCAAAGTTGTGGATATGTTTTGAATTGAATAGAGATAGATACTCTGAAAGATGACTAAATTAGATTAACTTCTTGGCTAAGAAAATCACTCGAAACATTTTGATCTTATGAATAAGAAGACGAATTCTCTCAATACTTTGCAGCACACACATAAGTATGGAATAGGAACAGTCGCTAATTATCTGCTAATGAATTATTTAACATCAAAGAAAACTTCAATTGATGAAATTACATGCTGTATGAATTCATGCATTCTGCAGGTAGTTAATGCAATTTGCAAAATCCTAATCGAATATCGATTTCTTATAATTAAAATTAATAATTTCAAAGCTGACATAATTTTAGAATTTAATAGTCAAAAAAATATATAATTTTCTTTCTGTAAAGATTTCAGCTGATTAAAACTTTATTACCATCAATAACGTTGAAAATGCACTTTCTTGATAAGATTATTTTCTGCATAATATGATATAGAAATATAAAAAGTGCAATTTTTATACATCAATTTTTCTTTTTAATGACTTTGGTTGCGGAGTTTGGAACTTTTACTGATCAACGATTTAGAGGAAAAAATATTTTTCCAAGCAAATTGGAATTTTTTATATAAACTTTTGCTCGTATTTGAATAAATTCTTATGTCCGTAAAATTTTGAAATTTGAAGGTTTCGAAATTTAGGGGAAAAATATTTTTCCATGCAAATTTTGTATCTACTTTTGAATAAAAGCTCCCTAAAATATGAGCGTTTAGAAATTTAGAGGAAAAAATATTTTCCATGCAAATTTTCCATCAATATTTGAATCCATGAAATTTTTTATATTTGCAAAGAAACTCACAAGAGGAAAAAATATTTCCCTAAGCAACTTTTGTACCTTTTTGAATTGATTCACTCGAAAGTTCAAAATTTTAATGAAACAAATTTCTACAAAGGTTTCTTGAACCATTCTAAACGAAACAATTTTTTAAACTGAAAAATTAACTATTTTTCTCTGGCGTGAAACATATAAATTATATTTAATCGTTGATCGTAAATGTAGCGAAA